GACCCCTAGTTTGCATTTGTCCCTTTTTACTTTCAATCCCCGGGCCTGAAACCGACTAAGGACTTGGCGCAGGCGATCCTTCAGCTGGTCTCTCGATGTCGCGGAGATGAGGACATCGTCGAAATACGGCACCACCCCCGGAATGCCTTGCAGCAACCGCTCCATAACACTCTGAAAAAGTCCTGGGGCTACGCTCACCTCAAATTGGAGTCAGTTGCATTTGAACGCCCCCCGATGAGTCACTATGGTCTGGGCTTCTGCGGTGGCTTCGTCCACCGGCAACTGCTGGTATGCCTGAGCGAGATCCAGCTTCGCAAACACGTTCCTGTCCCCCAACGAGTGTAAAAGGTGCTGTACTACGGGGACGGGATACGCGTGGGGTTGTAACACCTTGTTGATGGTCCCTTTGTAATCGGCACACACCCGCAAGGATCCATCTGGCTTAAGGGGGAGGACGATGGGCATTTCCCACTTGGCATGGTCCACTGGCTCGATGACCCCTTGGGCTAGCAGTTTGTCTAGCTGTCCAGCAATGGGCATGAAACTGTATGCAGATGGAGAAGGGCAATCACCCTTAATGGGTGATCAGGATGTGCATAGGGGATTAGGGGGGGGGAATACAAAAGAACACAACACCCTTTAATGTTAATGAATCCCCATCAAGTTCTTATACAACCCCAGAGTGCTTACTGGCCAAGTATTGATGGCTATATATATTTATTTGGATATTTCTACTGTTTTTATTCTTTTAAAATATTTTTAGTATTTTAATTGTAATCATTTTTTAAAATTTTAAGCTGCTAGAGTCAGATGCCCAGCTATAGAAATGAAATCAATCATTCAGTCAATCTTCCTGTCTGGATTAAGTATAATGCTTATTAGAACTGTTTTAAATGTATCAAAGGACTAGTTACAATTTGCACCAAAATGAAATTTTCAGATCTATTGCATCAATTGTAAAGTAAAGAACATTATTCATAGGTTAGTTAAGCAAAGATTGATTTTTCAGTTCAGTTTTGATCAATTATTTGAAAACATGGGCAAGGTTTTGGATATACTGTATGTGCTTCCTTTTGTGACTGTTTGGAACAGTCCCAGAGCATGATTTGTGACCACTATTTTTTTTTTATTTTTTTCCAGTGCTATTTGGCAGCCTATATTTGAAAAAACTGTGTTCTTGAATATACATGTAATACTCTCTTTCTACACAGGAAATAATCTTTTCTCTCCTTTAGAAACTACACAGAAGGCTATCATCAAAAGGCATGCATTGTAAGCTTTTACTATCAACAGGCACAATGGTTGAATTAATTTAACATTGCCATGGCATATAATTTGGGGGATGGGGGAGTGACCTTGATATGGCAAGTACAGTAGTAAAGACTAGGTTTCCCGGGTCCTGTTTGGTCTTTCATATTTGAACCCTGGTTCTGCCCCAGGGTAGAAGATTTGAGAATAAATGAAATCCTTGTAGTAGCAGTTTTGAGCAGTCCATGTTTAACAAACCAGTATGATGTCATGGCAGAAGGGGAAGTCAGTAAAACATGGATCTCAGATGGATGCAAACTAGGATAGAAGAGTGATCCTATGCCAATCACCTGGATATCAAGGAAATGTTCTGTGAACCAGGAGGTGGATGGATACTTTTTGCAGGCACACCAGCTTTGTATTATTTGTTGGTTGAGATGGTTGTAATTGTGTCTCTGTCTCTGGGACAGAAGGTGGGGTATCATCAAATTCCTGCTCTCCCTTCTTATCAAGTTTCTTTTCTCATGAGAAATCAGGGGAGCTCTATCAAGCAAGTAGGGCCATATATCTATTATCACATATCTTTTTTTTTTTTGACACAACCCTTTTTATTTTAATCATTTCTTATTCTGCAATTTTACTTATTATTATTAAATACATATTATTTTTTATTATTAAATAAATATTATTTATTTAATAATACTATTTATTATTAAATAAACTTACCAATAAATAAATGTTTAAGTCATTCTATTTGTCTTTTTTCTTGAAAACTAGGAGAATGAACCTAATTAACAAAACCTTTTATATTTTGTAAGCATTCTATTCTTTCTTCTTTCTTCTTCTTCTTCTTCTTCTTCTTCTTCTTCTTCTTCTTCTTCTTCTTCTTCTTCTTCTTCTTCTTCTTCTTCTTCTTCTTCTTCTTCTTCTTCTTCTTCTTCTTCTTCTTCTTCTTCAATTTTCCCTTTGAAGAATAACCTATTAATCTTATTAAAGAATGTTATCCTGAGTGCAGTCACTTGGTCAATAAAATGTTTCCTATTATCTATTTCATTATACTTCCTGTACTTTCTACATCCTATGCTCAGTATGTATTTGCTCTATATCAATATTGTAATATAACAATATGAAATATAAACCAACAACTTTTTGTTATACAATTTTTTCATATACGAGGTTGAGCATTTGTATGTTTATATAAATAGTTTTGTATCTTTAAGAACATGTTTGAAGCTCTTTTCAAATAATTTCTTTACTGGGATAAAATTAGAATATGAAAAAGAAAATGTTATTATTGTACATTATATATATTGTAACAATTAACAATTAATGAGTTGTTAATGCTTATTCCTTAGCTGAAGTGAGCATTAGATCTGTTATACCAAAAATATATGTGACCAACATAAACATATTTCATTTTTTAAAAGAAAAAAAATAAGTTAAAACAACAAGCTTCCTATATCAAAAACATACACAACTAGAACAGAAAAGGAAAAACACTAATAGAAAAAGTAATGTTGCAGAAGGTGGAAATATATTTTTATCATTGTAGTTATTATTATTTTTACCTGCTTCTATGTTGATTTTCATGCAGAATTTGTAAGAAATGAAAATGTTAATGTATTATTTAATAATGTTATAAAGAGAAAAATCATATTATTTCACATAAAATTAATGTTCCTATAAATACTATGGAAACCAAGTTTTTTTTTGTTCCCCAAGACTAACAGAGGCATATTCATAATAAAAGAAAAGTGGGGGAGTTGGAATTCTATTCATTGCAACTTAAATTGTGAATACTCCATTACCAATAGAAAAAAGTAATGAAATGTAAAAGTATAGTGCTCTGTTACTCTCACAATTAGCCTCAATCCTGAACATCGGGGGTTCCCAAAATCTGGTCCATGACTGCTACTGGTGCACAGCCCACTGACAACCAGGCTGTGCAAGCAGTAGGTGAGCACATGGACTGCATTTTGCAAGCATGCTGCATCTGTGGTAGTCTACAAAAAGGGGATTGCTGCTGAACATGGATAATCCATCTAATTTCATAGACAAATTTGGAGCATAACAAATGGTCTTATTTTCTGAAGATCAGTTCATGCATATGCCAAAGCATAATACAGGAAAAGAAGCTCTATTCTTATTGGGAATATATTTCTTCTTCTTTAATCCCTAAAGTGGTTCTTTTCTTTGTCCATTCTGAGCAGCAAACTACACTGACATTTTACCCAGGTTTTGCCATTTTTTCCTAATCACCTTTTTTATGTCTTTATTTTTAAGGCTGTAAATGATTGGATTCAACATGGGCGTTAATACAGTGTATTGGATAGAGATCACTTTCTCCAGATCTGTAGGAGATTGAGAACCTGGAGTAAGATACCTGAAAAAAGCTGAAAATAAAAACATGCAAACCACAATGAGGTGGGAGCTGCATGTGGAAAAGGCTTTGCTCCTGCCTTTAGCTGAATGAATTCTTAAGATAGAAGAGATAATATAAATGTAAGATACAACAATAAGAAAAAAGGGTGTAAAAGCAAAAATAATCACCGAGCCAAGTAAGAACATATAATTGGTAAATGTTTTGCTGCATGATAAGTTCAAAAGCAGAGGAAGTTCACATGTGTAGTGATTGACTGAAGGCACCCAACAAAATTTCAAATATTTCAAAGGCAAAGAGTTGATCAATGCATCCAAGAATCCCATTATCCAAGATCCTCCCACCAACTGCCTGCACATTTGTTTTCTCATAATTATTGAATAATGCAGTGGGTTACAAATTGCAACATAGCGATCAAATGCCATTACTGAAAGCAGAAAGAAATCCACACAAGCAAAATGGATAAAGGAAAAGATTTGCACAATGCAGCCTATCAAAGAAATTGTTTTTTTATTTGCAATAAAATTTGCCAGCATCTTTGGGACAGTGACTGTTGAGTAACAAATGTCAACAAAGGCTAGATGACTAAGAAAGAAGAACATAGGAGTGTGAAGGCCATGTTCGATCCTAATTATCAGTATGATCAAAAGGTTTCCTAATAGTGTTATTGTGTATATAATTAGAATCACAAAGAATAGAATCAGCTGTATTTCTGGGTTACTCGAAAGTCCCAAGAGTATAAATTCTGTAGTTATGGTTTGATTTTCCATTGAGGATTGACAAATATCAATAAAGTCTGTCTGAGAAAAAATGAATATTTTTGTTTAAAAATATGAATATTTACTAGATAATATATATTTGTTGTTGGTGTAGTATTTATTAAAATAATTATGATCAGAATATATTTGATAAAAATAATACTTACTGTAGCATTGTATTTATGAACAATATTGACTTTTAGTCAGACTTTGATGCTTAACATAGGGGTTATGTAGAAATCAATGTATTTTGTTTAACAAGTTGTAGAAATGTCACATTTCATATAACTGTTGGTCACAGATTGCTTAAAGAAATTGCAACCTCTTGGTAAGGTGGAGTCCATATTAGATATAGGTTGAGCATTACACAAATTCTGTTGATTACATTAACAATATTGCACATTGTTTTAAACTATACCAAATATTATATTGATATTTCTTATATATTTTTTTAAAGTTTTAGGAGAGAATCTTTTCAAAAATAATGCTTCAAAAAGGCGAGTGCCTAATACTTAAAAAAGAGAACTTTTATTTAAAAAATGACAGTTTTCGTAGTAATTAAGCATGCATTTCCTCTCTAATTATGAATTGTAAATATTTTCTGTCGTTTCTATTAGGCTGCCTTTTGAGATTTCAGTGAAAAATAATTTTAAAAATGGAACTGTATTGCTATTTTTTAAAAGATGTACTTCAAAGTGTCTCTTTGATATTAACCAATAGGAATAAAATTATAGTGACCACAAGACTGAAATTATTGCTACTACTTCTTTTTAAAAGTTTATCTACATATCAGCAAATATTCTAAGCAGCTGTATCATAAACAATATAATTTGCTTTTTAGGAATTTATCAAAGAGACAAAGTCCAATCTATTTTCCCCATCAAAATTGAAGACACATTATGATTTTTGTAATTTTAGTACAGATGTCTACTGCTAGTTATTAGTTCATGATGTCTCAAATAGTCATAGCGTGGCTATAACATGAAAAGTTCCTTAAATGAAAGAAAAATATTTTTAACCATAATCAACATAAACATATAAAAGACCTAGTGAATTGACACTAGGCTTAAAAAGTAACTTAAAAAATCATTAGACTCACCTGTAATTTTTACAAGATAATCAACCAACTAATTTTAAAATTATCCAATTGTTTCCCAATCTCACTACTTTAGTAATCTGTTTCCTTCAGATATAAATTTGTTCAGCAACCATTAAAACTTTATAAACTGATCTCATGATAGCCTTTTTAAGGAATCAGATCATGCCAATTTATTTCTGAAGTGGAAAACAAAGAATTGCCTTGTGTAAATTTCCCTTGAAATTTCTTTAGCTCTGTGAATTCTCAAAGGAGATTCATTTGTAAAGAAAGTCATGCACCTTAAACTTTAAGCTGAATGTTTTAAATTCAGAGAAAAAAATCATTCAATTTGAGGTTGGATCTGAGTTTTGATTCCAATTTGAGACCAGAGGAGGAAAAAAGTATCCACAAGCTATTATGGAGAATAATTACCATCTTGTCACACCTAATCCTTGGAGTGCCATCATGTGTATGTATCACACAATCTGTTCTGAGAAAAATAAAGTGTCTGCATTTTGGGTTGACTTTACACTAAAGAATAGCACAAAAGTAAAGCAGAATAATTACAGGACAAGACACATCATGCATTTAGAATAGGGTATGACAAGAACACATCCTGGGAAGCAAGAGAGTTGTTTCCAACCAAAGGAAGAGATTAGGAACATGCTCTTACATAACCAAAATTCTTGGCTATGCATAATTACAGAATTTAATATCTCTCCTCTGAAGAGCCATGTTAGCCCCATTGCTTAGTTCACAGCATGATTTAGGACTTGGTGCTCTCCAGACAACAGGCTTTGACTCTTCAATATTGGAGTCAGTGACCAGCTACAGAAAGATCATTTGTAAACTGCAGGTTGAAAGTCTGGTAGGTTCTCCTCTAATCAGAAAAGCCTAGAACAAAAGAGGAAATTTCAAACTAATGGGATGTAGTTTCCTCTACTTATATACAAGACCATTTGCCTGTGGAAGGCCTAGGTATGGGTGCTCATCCATGCAACATCATGTTTATTGTGCTCAAATGCAGTAAATTCTTGTCCTAATTAATCATGGGCTTTCAATTAAAGTTAAGAGAGCAGGAATCATATTTTGTATAGTGGATCTCAAAGGAGCTCTCAAAAGCTAATGGGCAGTGACATTTGTAAAAAAACATATTTCTATTTCTACAATGTCCTTTTCCCAATTCCTTTAATTCCTCCACATCACAAGATTAATGGTATCTACTCTGACAAGTATACGATGAGTTTCATCACATCAACACTAGAATTTATGTTCAAACTAAGGAACTGAGATTTTGCATACTATTAGGAAGCCTTGCCTAGGGTTAAAGCCAATTTTCTCGATTTGTTGTAATTTGTGCCAAGTATTGAATTAATAACCCCAATATGGCAAACCAAATTATTTTTCCATAGCAGGGGAACATTTGACTGTCCAGAGATTCTACCAGAAAGATAGTTTAACATTGTTATTGTAGATATGTGTATTATGACAGGGTATTATCCTCTGGTGTTGAACTGCATCCTGTATTTCTATACAGACATTATATGTGTTTAAAGAAAAAAATGCTGTTATTTGATATCAGTTAACCATTCACACAAACTTCCCCATTTCCAAGATAGATGAAAAAGAAAAGAAGAGAAGATAATTGTTTGTCTGATGTTAATCCCTGCTTATCTGGACATTGCATTCTCATCTTTTTGTTTCCTTCTAACCAAACCATTCAAACCCAACCCAAACTGTACTTGGATTCTCTATTTAGACAGACTGAGATCATAATTTTTGAACAATTTCAATCAATATTTCAGCATCCGTGTACATTTGTATTTCCAACATTTGTTTCTTCAAATTCCAAAATAAACTCATTGACTTTCCAAATAATTTTATTTAGAGCGTTTCAATGTATAGACATGAATGTGCAAGATTTTTTTTTTTAAAAAAAACTGAAGTAATTACAGATTGAACTATTCAACTATTGGCCCTAAGAAAGATAGTCATCTTGTTTTCAATCTCTCTTCTTTTATTGCAATCATATTTTATATAACTAGATCCACAAATTTGCAGAAAAATATATTTATTCACTTTAACATTTAAAAATAGGGAAAACATGGTTAGAAATATGCATAGTTATGATTATTTGTTTCTTGTAGAAATTCAATGGTGGCAATGGTGTCTAGTATTTGTTCACCTGGCAATATAAGTTTCACCCTTGCTGCATATCCTTCAGATTCAATGACATGTGGACATAGTAACAATAAAATAAAATATTACTTACATTGAATTTGGCATGTTTTCATGTTATTGAACAAGCTAAGCTTAAACCTAGAAGCTGGGAGGGGTGGTTTTCTCCTGTGCTAGGCTGGAAGCCATTCTAGTCTTCTTCATGTAATACTTAGCCTCAGAAAAAAATAGTGTAGTGGCATTTACTGTATGTTAAATTTTTTTGATCTGCTCCTGGATTAGGACTGGAGGAGTGTAGGCAGTGGGAGTGTGATGTGGAATTAGGGGACACTACCATTATTCCCTTATCATGAAAAGATCAGTCTCTGGTTGCCCTGGTATTCTCCAGGTTGTTCCTTACTCACTGCATGGAGACTATGCCTATATAATCAGTCTACTCCAAGTAACTAATGGACCCTTTTGGGGTTCTAGGTGGACCTTGGGATTGTTTGTGAGGATCTGGTTCATGGACCAATTGAAGTTAAGTTAATTTTCTGGAATATGTGGGGGTAGGGCAGGTAACATAGATTGGACCTATCTTACCTCTCTCCTTTCAGGGATCATATAGTTGCCTTTGAGAAAGTGAGGGAAATAAAATAGGACAAGAGTTTTATGTAATTATAACATTTGTATGGTTGCCCATCCTGAAAAATTCTGGGTGGCCCACAACAACAATAAAATTATAAAAAGCAATAACAGCAATATAAAAGAAACTAAAAAAAACAAAAACTTGGTGCTACAATCAACCTCCCTGGGTGCCAGCGAATCATTTGCAGACTCCACCACAACTGCAGTGCCTGGATAAAGAGCTAGGTTTTAATGGCTAATGGAAGAGTGTTTCATAAGGTAGGGCAGCTGCAGAAAGTCATGCTTCCTACATCTCACTAGATGGCAATATTTCAGGGAAGGGACTTGAAGCATGCCTATTCTATCTGATCTTGTAGGATAGGCTAATACTCTCTGGGACTATAATAAGCCAGGAAAAAAAATTACCTGGATCTCTAAAATTAATATAGAAATTCTTCCTATCTCTTCCCTCTTTCATTTAACAATATATTTTTAAAATCATTCCGGTGCTGGTAGAAATTTTACAATGAAGAGACTTCAGATCCTAAATGTGTCTGTGTGAGCAGATGGGTAGGCTTAAATTACTTCTTGATAATCTGTCATGTTCATAAAAAGAGAAAAGATGCTAGTGGAGAGCCACCTCAGAATCCAATTTACTATTTAGTGTAGCAAAGGATTTCTATTCATTTAGTGGATGATAAAAGCTTGTTAAAAATAATCAATATCATGTCTCATGTCAGATCACAATAGAATTTTTTTTATTTTTTTTCTATGTGACATGACTAAGCAATACAGTAACAAACAGATCATTCAAATATTTGTTGTTAGCTGCAAAGTCGTGTCCAACCCATTGTGACCCCATGGACAACGTTCCCCCAGGCCTTCCTGTCCTCTACCATCTTCTGGAATCCATTTAAGTCACTCCTACTGCTTCAGTGACTCCATCCAGCCACCTCATTCTCTGTCGTCCCCTTCTTCTATTGCCCTCAATCTTTCCTAGCATTAGGCTCTTCTCCAGTGAGTCCTTACTTCTCATTAGGTGGCCAAATTCAAATATACTGACATTCAAAAAATAAGCTGACCTTTAAAAAAATAATGGCTTATGAACCTATTAAACATAAGTGAAATTAATCTTCACTTCTATTGACAAAATGGTATGTCTTATAAAAGTTGTTTGCCACCATCTTCTACCTCAAGTCATGGTGTGCTGCCTAATCTTGGTTGGGTATCCTTGTGTAGGAGGAATGAAGAACCACTGGGAGTATATGCAAAAATATATATTCCAAGCAGGTCACCCAAGCTGCTCAACAAGTGTATACTTACATTGGACATCAGTAATATAGAAAAATGCTGGCAAATGATAATTTTAGTACAATGTCAAAGGCATCAATTCATACTACATCAAGCAAGGCAGTGGTAAACAATTTATATTTTTTGAACAAAAACTGCATAGCCATTGCAGTCTGTTCCAGTGAAAAGGTAGCTACTTGACTGAGAAAGAGAAGATCAGTGGTTACTGCTGTTACATTTACATAAAGTTCTCTCATGGCATGTATGGTTGTCAAGTGCAGAAATTTGGTTCTAAGTGCACACATTGGTCAGAAAATTATTTTAAAACTATTTACTACTGCTTATGATTTTATGCTTTTAGTTAAACAAATATTAAAAAATGTTGAGACTCTAGAAAACTGCAGAGAAGAGCATCAAACATGATTAGGCTAAAAACATGCAAAAATGGTTGCTGGAATTGGGTATGACTAGTTTAAGGAAAAGAAGGACTAGGGTTGACATGATAGCAGTGTTCCAATATCTCAGGGGCTGCCACAAAGAAGAGGGGGCCAACTTATTCTCCAAAGCACCAGAAGGCAGGACAAGAAGCAATGGGTGGAAATTACTAACTTTTTAAACTACTCTCTGTTAGATAACAAGCATAATTGCATTTTTTTCTGATAATGTGATAAGATAAATTTATATAAATGTGAAGAATACAGCAATCTGTAGGTGTGGATCAGTGGCACTTCACAGGAATATAAAATCTGTCAGTAATGTTTGATTATCTAAATTGAATTAATGTCTGTGTTACTAAAACAGCAATAACTATAATTATAACTACACCCATCTACATAAACACTCATTACTATGGATACAATTGATTTCATTTCTTTCCTCCCCATCCCTCAAAGTTAAGACCAAGTAATAGTCTGCCATATTAGTTGTGAGAAAACAAATAAAATAATATATAAACCAGATCATTTTTCTGTACTCATAGATGTGACCAGGATTGGACTGGCTAATTTATTTATAAGACAAGACAAAAAACAATACAGAAAACAAAAAAGAAATCTTACATTTGTTATATGTTGCCATATTTGATTATTCATCTTCTTGTATGGAGCTCAGGTGGAATATGGTTACAAAATTATTTTGTAGCACTGACCCAAAAAACGGTGGGTTGGATGCAGTATCCATTTTCTGTCAATTTTCCTCAGAAAGCTATAGTTCGAAAGTTGGGTCAAAAAGTGCATTGCTTCATCTTTTTACAGCCTCCAGGTAGACCAACCTTGCTATTCCCATGGACTCATCTCTCAAGACTTTTAGGGACTCTCTGAATCTGAAACAGTGGGAAATTAGCAAAAAGACCACTCTCTTCATTAGAGAAGAAATATTCAAACGAGAACTTTTCCATTGGCAGAAAGCAAACATTTGGATATAGGCTTTTGTTTGTTCTAAATGATATTAGAAAACATTTAATAAGGGTAAAAATAGTACTATGTAAAAATAACTGTGGAGGATGGAACTAATTTGACATTCTGAGCAGTAAGCTATATGGAAATATTGCCTATGTTTTTTAAACTGTTTCTAATGACTACTTTAATTTCTTTATTTTTAAGGCTATATATGATTGGGTTCAACATAGGTGTTAATATAGTGTATTGGATAGAGATCACTTTTTCCAGATCTGTGGGAGATTTAAAATTTGGTTTGAGGTATCGGAAAACAACTGAAAATAAAAACATGCAAACTACAATGAGGTGGGAGCTGCATGTGGAGAAGGCTTTGCTCCTGCCTTTTGCTGAATGAATGTGTAAAATAGAAGAAATAATATAAATGTAAGACAAAATAATAAGAAACAAGGGTATAAAACCAAAAATAATGCTTGTGGCAATCAACAATATATAATTATTAAAAGTATGGCTACATGACAAGCTTAAGATCACAGGAAGTTCACAAGTGTAGTGATTGATTGAAGGCATCCAACAAAATCTTAAATGTTTCAAAGGATAAGTATTGATCAAAGCATCTAAGAATCCCATTATCCAGGATCCTCCCACCAGCTGTCTGCATATTTGTTTTCTCATAATTGTTGAATAATGTAATGGGTTGCATATTGCAGCATAGCGATCATATGCCATTACAGAGAGCAGGGAGAAATCTACACAAGCAAAATTGATAATGGAAAAGATTTGCACAATGCAGCCTACCAAAGATATTGATTTTTGGTTTGCTATACAATTTGCCATTATCTTTGGGACAGTGACTGTTGAGTAGGAAATGTCAACAAAGGCTAGATGACTGAGAAAGTAGAACATGGGTGTATGGAGGTGATGATCAGTCCTGATTATCAATATTATCAAAACATTTCCTAACACTGTTATTGTATAGATAATTAAAAATACAAAGAAAAGAAGTATCTGTATTTCTGGATTACTTGAAAGTCCCAAAAGTATAAATTCTGTAGTCACGTTTTGATTTTCCATTGACAATTGGCCAATATCAGTAAGGCCTGTAAATGTGAAAAAAATGAAATTAACAGTTTATAGATTTTAAAATATTTGATATAATTTGTTCTGCTGATATAAAATATGTTGATATTATTATAAATTATTTATTTAAAGTATATTTTCTGTAGTATATTCTGCTGTGGGACACTGACCTTTAGACTTTTTTAGTAATAGATATTTTTCACATGAAGCCTGCTGCTTAATTTTATGCACATTTTTACTGAGAACTCAAAGCATTATATTAGCAGTTTGGGGGTTACAGGTTGCTTACAAAATGATGACTTCTTTTTAAGGTTTAGTGCATTTTCAGAATAGGTTGAATTTCCTATGCTACCATGAGACAAACTACAGTTAGTAGACTCTGTGATTTCCATTGCACACAGTCCTAAATTGTCCCAATGCTGTATTTGAAAATTGTTTCATGCTTAAAATAAATAAATAAATAGTTGTCAATGAGAATTTGAAGTCAGCTCTCAAAAATATAAAGCTTCAAAAAAATTATCCCCATCTCTCTCTCTCTCACATACACACACAGAGAAACAGACACAAACACAGAGACACAGAAAGACAGAGACAAATACACACACACACATATACATATTACTTCTGAAAATCCAAATCAGTGAAAAAGAATTAAGAAAATTGAAACTGTATTGTTAGTTTTAAAAGATTTTGTACTTCATATTATATGTGGACACATATTATTTAAACACATCTCTTAAAAATCCTTTGACTCACCTGTACTCTTTATGTGATCATCAACCAATTTGTTATAAAACAATCTATCTCTTTTCCCAGCCCACTTTCAGAAGCTTTGTGAACTGATCTCATAATAGACTTCTTAGGAAATCAGTTCTGCTTAGATTCCTTTTAAACTAAGTAACAAGGATGTATCTTGTGTAATTTTTCCCTTGAAATTTCCCTAGCGTCATTTCTCAAAGGACTTTTTTTTTTTAAAGGAAGACATTCAGAGTAGAAAAAGAGGAATGTACTGGAATGGGAGACGTTCAGCTTGCTAGTAGCATTTTGCTAATCTGCTCAGATAGATTACCTGCTGAACTATTGTAAGGTTCTAACATAGGTGATGATAGTGCAATGTTGATTAAACTGATTGATGAGGGTGGTAGTTAGTTGTGAGAGCCAATATTATGGGTTGAAATGAATGCACTGCTACCAATGTTTGTACTTATAATCAGATTAGTTCCACAGAAGAGGATTGTATATGGAAGCTTATCTTGGCAAGATGTGTCAGAATTACATTTTGTAACAACAAAATGGGAATGGTATCATTAGAGATCTCTGTGATTAACCTGTCATTATTTTTTTTTACTGTGGGCATATTGGCACACATTGAAAATGAAATTTAATTGCTTGCTCTCAAAGTGTACACATATATAACACACATTTAAATATGCTATATACAACATATGTATAAACTTATAACCTTATATATAAATACATATAAAACAGTTTCTCTCTTATTACACTACCAAACAAAAGTTAATTCCAAAGTGAATAAAATCTGTTCATCTTTGTGCTTCATTATGTTGGATGGAAGTGGAGTTATTGCAATGACTTGAAACAGGCAAGTTATGGATTATCAAAAGAACAAATTAAAATATCAAAGTATAGTTATCTACCAAATCAAATATGGATGAGGGGCACTTCAGAGAGTGGAGAAACCCCAAGAGATATAGGACACATATGCAGGGTACATCTGTATGAAAAAGCTGGGTTTCAGTGGCTGGACATAAATAGGAGAGGATTGAAAAGCTCTATTGTTCTCACAAGGAATGTAATTACACATTGCTTTTCATAGTATTGTTACAAATATATGCATAGGATTATTTGTATAGGGATCATCCTGCAATCAATGTGGGATTACACTTTGGAGATATCAACCCATTGATAAAAATTGATCCTCTTGACTCTTGGCATAGTTAGGGTAACATAAAGTAAGCCAAGTCTCTATGAAATCAGCTCACTGAGAGACATGGAAATGTATTTATTTATTTATTTATTTTACATTAAATATACAGAATCAGCAACTATAGAAACTGTATGTAATGGGCATGTAATGAAGGATCTAACTAAGAAATTTACCAGTGGAGATGGATTTGGAAAACAGTCTATACAACTTGATAAGTTCCTTCCCAACTATTCTCTTGAGTGTTGGGGGGATCAGTATTTAGGAAAAGGCTAGAGAGGAATCATCAGTCAGATATATATATAGCAGAAAATGTGGCAGACTTAATAGATTGTAAGGTTTTGTTTTTATGTCTGTTTTTGTAATTAATATTTTTTCAGTTAATTCCTTATTGATAAGCCTATTTTATGGGCAAATCTCTAGATATGAGCAAAAAAAAAAAAATATAGGGAAAGGGAAGGGAAGGGAAGGGAAGATAGCTTTTAAAAGAAAATTCAGTTTTTGTAACCTAAACTGAAATGAATTTATTCAGAAATATTTGAACAGTTTCAGATAAAGAAACCAACCAACCAACCAACCAACTCTTGAAATAGATTGATATTCATTGGCTTATTTGCTTAATATTCAGCAGCTGTTTAATGGCCTCCCTTACTTCTTTAGTCTTCAGACTGTAGATAATTGGATTTAACATGGGTGTAGAAATGCTATATTGCACAGAAAACAGTTCATCCATAACAACTGAAGAGACTGAATTGGGTCTCAGATATCGAAAGTAGCCAGTCACATAGAATAAAGCCACCACAATGAGATGAGAACTGCAGGTGGAAAAGGTTTTCTTCCTAGCTTCTGCTGAATTCATCTTCAGTATTGTAATGAAAATGTTGATATAGGATATTAGAGTAAGTGAAAATGTGAACATCCCAAGTATGCCACTAGTAACATAGAACACTGTTTTACTTGCTTTGGTTTCAGTGCAAGACAAAGCCAAAAGAGATGGAAATTCACAGGAGAAATGTCTGATAATATTTGGGCCACAGAATACTAGCTGTAGTACAGGCACAGTATTTGCAACAGCATATAATAAACCAGTTGCCCATGTACTTCCCACTAACTGTTTACAAAATAATACATTCATTGTTTCTATATAATGAAGTGGATCATGTATGGCAATGTATCGGTCATAAGCCATTGCTGTAAGAATAAATACTTCTGTACCTCCTGTTAGAAGGATAAAAAACATCTGAGTAATGCATTTGTTAAAGGAAATGGTATGGCCATTGAAGAAATTCAGGAGAACTTTAGGGACTGTGACTGAAGAATAGCAAATATCCAGAAAAGAAAGGTGATTCAGGAAAAAGTACATGGGATTTTGAAGATGACTGCAGTTCTTTATTACCATCATGATGACTATATTCCCCATTAAAGTTAATGCATAAATGAGTGAAAACACAAGAAAAAGAAATATCTGGCCTGGAATGTTATATGAAAAACCAGATAGAATGAAATAGGTCACTGTGGCATTCAGATTTTCCATTTTCATTTCAGCAAACCACCATCTATAGTGTGGACAAAATATTATAATATTATATAATATAAATATTATACAATAAAACATATTACAAGTAGTAGATAAACAAGAATGACTTGTCTGAACAAAAATAAAATAAAAATATATCATATTAAAGAATTAAAGGAATAATATTAAAGAATTAAAGGAATATATCATATTAAAGAATTAAAGGAATAATAAGAATTAAATAATAATAACCTTCAGCCAAAATTTAGCATTCTTAATCATTACTTTATTCCATATAAATAATTATGTTATTCCATTGATGATACTTCAATCATCAGTAACTTTTATTAACTGAACCATTTATTTATTTAAAATGTGCAAACATAGCTTTTTTAGAGGTGATTACTCTGGATTCATGGCTCTTTTTGGTAAGGCTTTCCAAAAAGACAACATAAACAGAAATATATTTTGAAATTGTGATTGGTAGTATGGAAGAAAATATTGGCTATTGAAAAGTAAAAGCATATACATTGATGACATATTGAAAATGAACCTTAATCATCTAAGAGTTAATGATCAAGTCTTTAGAAAGACACTCTAACATTTCATGTTGTTAATTTAGAAAGTCTTCTGATACAGGGCCTATACCTACAGTATATCACATAGCTCCTATCTTTTCTTTATCACAGAGAATGAACTTGAAAGTATAATTTTGAGGGTATTGTTGAGAACATCTGGGAAATAACAACCATGCCCTTTAAGAGCTGGAAGTGTTATTTATTCCCCAGCTTTTCCCTCAGAATAATATAGCTGAAAATAGTAATTGACTCAATTTCTGAAAACTATATTGACATTATTTTGTTTTTGTTTTGATGGAAATTCCTCAAAACCTCCTTCTCTTTTATTTTTTTTAAAGAAGAAAAATAAAAATTTGTAGAACAATAAAACCAATTATACACTAAAACTTCTAGACCACTCTATTTTTTCTTGAAAGTATAGTACATATAAGGAAAACATGTAATAATATGTACAAGATGAATGTTTTTGTTAGCAGTACTTCTGTATCATTGTAAAATCATTGTAAAATGTACTGATTTTTTTAAAAAAGGTCTGCATCTATTTCATTATAACAAATGCATGAATTTCATTACCCATAAAATAGATGCACATAATATAAAAAAAAATAATTGGGAATAAAATACCTGATACACTTCAGAAAGGTTTGTCTGCTGACTTAAATCATGAAAAAAATGTTATTTATATTGTTGGAACAAATGGTAAGGAGATCTCTTGAACCACAAAAACATGGAGAAGAAGTAGAAAGACTTATCCCAAAAGGCCAATTAAGATTGTGTGATTAAGTCTCTTTGAGTATTTAGAAATAATTTTATCTAAAATGGTTATTTGTTAGTATATATTTCTGCATTTGACTATTAAAAATAAGTCGGAGAATTTGCTCCAAGGAAGAATGCATTTCCTTTCAATACAACGAGCATATCAGAAGATTTGCTCCCTTCCATTTGAAGTTTTGGAAGAAAAGAGATGCAACCTATCAGATTTTAAAGATAACATAGAGCTGGCATAAGGATTTTGGCTTGAAAGTGTTTGTTCTTTCAAAAATGCTTATATCGAAAAGATGAGTCCCCAGTTTGTGGGTTCTGGAATGACTATGACCTTGAGGTCTAAATTGGCATAAAGAATTTGATATAAAACCTTTTATAATTAAATTTCTAAGATCAGGGAATAAATCTGTACAAAGCTGGACATAACAATGCTAATATAAGTATTAATTAAAAAGTTAATTCCATGATTACTTAAAGCCAGGAGAGCTGATTATACAAAATGAACAGTTGAAACAAAGAGGCTTTAGATAGATGAACAAGGTTTTATTTATTTGTTGAATCAGATTTATTAATAATGTTTTTAATCTGTAATGCTATGAATACATTTTATCTTGTAGCTTTCCATTCTTGCCAATGCAATAGTAATTGAAATGATGTATAGAAAGTTCATTCATGCCATTTAGAATAAATGGCAATAGTGGTACTCAAGAGAGCAATAGGACCAGGGTTTTTTTTGTCATAGAATGCCCAGAACGGAGTTCCGGCACCTTTTTTGGATGGAACCTTGTAGGATAGGCAAGGCGGGTTGTATGACGTGTGTGAATTACGGCACCTTTTTTTTTTTTTTTTTTCTTCAAAAAAAGCACGTAATAGGAGTAAGAACATTTTATGTCACTTCTTTACATATATTTAATGATGGAATTAAAAGGACATGTGTGAAAAATCTAACTTGGATTTGACTAACAGAGAACGTACATATGGTCTACTCTAATTACATGAAATGACATTCATTCAAGAACATATATACATTATTTATAAAATACTAACACTTTTAAAAGTTCTAACATTAGAATATTGAATGCTAGCAACTATAAATGACTGCTAGTTGAAGCTTTGGTTTACTGAAGCAAATTGAGCAAGGATCCCTGAATTTAACTGTCAATAAACAAAATAAGCAACTATCACTCAGCTCATAAAATTCCAATATTTTAAGCTTTGAATTGTCAAACTCCTTCATCTTTCTTGCTCTTCCAGCCTTGTCAGGTGAGCTGAAGATCAAAGTAAAGGAGAAAAGGAGTTTTTCTGTGCTGCTTTCATATTTTCTGTACAATGAAGTGTATGATTAAAATATTTTATGTTCTCAAAGGTTCTAAGTCTGGACATCAGCCCTAATTTCTAATCATGCTTCATACTTCAAGACACATTATTTTATGAACAAATTTATCCTTGCTGGCCCCCTAAAACAAAGTTCTCTGCAATAATTATCTATGTTTAACAGCTAATAATGCAAGTGAAGTTTGCAATTCAAATCAGATCTCATTGAAGAATCACTTTTCACTTGTTTCCTAGTTATTTTATTAATTGATTGTTTGAGTGTGGTATTAAAGAGTAAAAAAAAACACCAAAAAACCAATATGTATCAGATGTTGAGTTGAGAATTTCACTTGACAATGAAAAAAAGTCCAAACCTGTATTACAGAAAAAAATGTGCTGCGTGTTGCATTAGAGTGTAAAAAAAAACCAAAAACAACCTGTATTATAGAACTATCTTGAACTGAGTGTTGCACTAAACCAGTGGTGGCGAACCTATGGCACGGGTGTCAGAGGCAGCACTCAGAGCCCTCTCTGTGGGCATGCGTGCCGTCGCCCCAGTCCTAGGCCTTCAGCTGGGTTTTATAAAACCTTTTCGCTTTAGGCGTCTGCCGCCATGTGCAAAAAAAAAAGGTTCAATCAATCAGTCAATTTCAACTTCTCTTGGGAAAAAAAAAGATCTTGCAAAGTTGGAATTGATTGATTGAACTTCTTAGTCCCACCCAGTCTGCTGTTACTACTGCAGCCACGCCCACCCAATGGGCCACACCCACCTAATGGGCCACACCCACCCGGCACCCAACGATGCATAAGTGGGTTTTGGGTTGCAGTTTGGGCACTCGGTGTCTAAAAGGTTCGCCATCACTGCACTAAACCGTGAAAGAAGACCCAATATTTATTAGAAAACCACCATGTTCAAGTAAATGCTGTCTTTCCTTTAACCCCCAGTCTATTTAAAACATGCACTTACCTTGTAGGAAGCAATTCTGTTGTAGTAGAGAAACACACTATTTTTCTTACCCTTATCTAAATGTGCAAGAGGCTTTCTTGGAACAAAGTAATAAAAAAGGCACAAGTTGGTATCATTATTCCTTCTGGAATTCAGGGCAGAAATAATCAATCAGGAATCCATCATTGTCAAACAAAAATATATGCAGGGTAGATATGTCAAAGATATTTTGCTTTATTTTTCTTTTTTAAATAGAAAGTTATAGTGTAAATACATATTTAATTTTTTGTCACAAATAGTTTATGAAACAAACAAAAAAACAGAGAAGAATGAAAGTCATGGGGAAATGAGAACAGTTGAACAATCCAACCTGAGAACTAAACCACTAATCTAGAATCAAGATCTTGACTTCTAGCCTTACTTTAATCATAAAGCCAATTGAGTGACTAGGAAAAAGGTAGCTGCAAGGGTTCCATAGTATAACCAATAACCAAGGAAGTAAACAACTATAATTCAACCCAGAGTTTTGGGTTGATTTAGATTTGGACTTTTAATATATCTAGACCTTTCTGCCCTTCTTTAATATCCTAAGATCAGATCCCAACCTCAAGTTGAAGATCCAGGTAAAGGAGAAGTCATAAATGCTGCTTTCATACATTCTGTACAACCTGGCATTTGTAAGAATTTCTTATATTCAAATTTTCCAAATATTCTAAATTTAAATGTATGTTAACACATAATATCTAAGTATGATTCAGTTTCCAAGGCAAATTCTTTCAGGATATAGTTTTCAGCAATAGAACAGTATACTTGAAATTACTAGAATAGAAACATGGAGAATTGTTCACTAGATATTTATCAACAAATTTCAAACAATATGTTTCTACAATACTGAAAATTAAATCTTGGAACTGAAAAAATCAGCTTCATAATAAATATAAATATGATAAGAAAGAATAAACCCCCAATTTTCCAGATAAATTTGCTACTCATATCATGGTATAAAATAAATTTGATCATCTGTTTGTTTTAACCTTGCAGCTCAGTTCTTATATAACTACATTAAAATATGTTTAGAAATATTATTTTTGGTGGGGGATAGATTTACATTATATGCTATAATGTAAAAGAAAGACAGAGATGTAGAAACTGTAAGAGGAAATAAACCACAGACTTAAATCTCAGTGGATACTTTTTATTACAGTTCTTTAAAAATTGCTCAGTTGTATAGTAGAGAAACTATAAGGAAATCAACTACAGACTTAAATCTCAATGTATACTTTTATTATGATTCTTTTTAAAAAATTGTTCAGACAAACATTAGAGCAAGGTATGTGGTGTTAGAAATTTGGGGAAAGTATCCCTATTTTATTCTCTCTCTCATTGCTGATGCTGTAAAGAAGTTAAATCAAAAACGCAGAATATTGTTTCTTGGGTAAAGAATGGGCCTAACTTTTCTAAATAGTTTTTCTACAGCAGATATGATCTCTTTGTTTTTCAGACTATATATGATAGGGTTTAACATAGGAGTTAAAATGCTATATTGAATAGATATTACTTTGTCCAGATCCATGAATGATTCTGAGCGTGGCTTCATGTAACAAAATCCCCCTGTAAAGTAATATAAGCCAACCACAATGAGATGGGAACTGCATGTGGAAAAAGCTTTCTGCCTGCCTTCTGCTGAATTAATTTTCAGAACAGCAGAAATAATGTAAATATAAGAAACAAGCGTGATTAGAAATGAGCTAAGACTAATTGCTGACAGTGATATAAGGAGAATGATATAATTAGAGAGAGTATCTGTACAAGACAAGGGCAAGAGTGAAGGAAGCTCACAAGCATAGTGTCTGATGATGTTGTTGCTACAAAAACGGAGATTTAGCAAAGGAAGTGCATTCACCATAGAATGAAAAAATCCCAGGCTCCAGGCTCCAACAACCATTTTATTGCATATCTCTCTTGTCAAGTATCTGCTATAATGCAGGGGGTCACATATAGCCATATATCGGTCATAACCCATTGCTGAGAGGATAAAAATTTCTGTACAAGCTGTTTGGAAAGTGAAGTAAATCTGTACAATACATCCTTCCCAAGAAATAGTTTTCTGCTTTGTTAGGAAATTTGCCAACATCTTGGGAACAGTGACTGAGGAATAGCAGATGTCAACAAAAGCTAAATGGCTGAGAAAAAAGAACATAGGTGTCTGAAGGTGAAGCTCAGACTTGATGACCAATATGATTAAAATATTTCCCATGATGGTGACTAAGAAAATGATCATGAACAAGAAAAGAAAGAAATCCTGTATGTATGGGTTATTGGAGAGTCCCAACAGAATAAACATTGTTATTACAGTTTGATTTTCCAGTTTAGAGGATTCAGGAAACATCTGTCAAAAATAAAATAAAATAAAACACAGTAAATAATATATAGAAATATGAAAGCGGACTTCCATTTTAATATACATATTAATTTAAAGATCAAATTTTAGATCAATATTGGGAATGATAAAGTATGGTACTTTATTTTTTTACATATATTTCACCCAATGCAAAATATAACTATTGCATTTCTCATTTTAGCAATATGTTTTGTTGATTGCTATGATATTTCAATTTATTTGCTATGGTAATTGGTATATCATTTGCATCTTCATGTATGTATTTGTAAAGTGAGCTAAAGTCTTAAATCAAGAGAAATTGTTCCTAAGAAAAATGTTGATAAAAAATATCAAAACAGATTTTGAGTCATCTGTTTCTTCAAAATGTCCAAATGGAAAGATTTCAAGAAGTTGCGGCACATGGAATTTACCCGTTGGGAAATCCATTCTTTTCAGCTGCCCTTGTCCTCTTCTGTACAAGAATCCACTGATTTGCTCTTTCTGTATTCCATATGCTTTGCCCATTTTTTGACCCCTTCCACCTTTCCAAATAGGTATCATACTAGTCATGTTGAATGTGATTATATAGACACAAACATGTTGAATTCTCTCCCCTCCTCCAGCAGAAATACAAAAGTGATTTGTTACTTTCTTTTTCATTTTTTTTGTTCCTTTCTTTTCAGCTTTTGGAATATTGGGCTTTTTATTTGTTCCCCTCCTCCCCATGCTAAATAGATGCAATGTGTGATGCTTTTTAAAAAATAGCTAAGTAAAGGTAGATAGTGACATATGCTTTGGTAAATTGGAGAAAGAAAATTTCAAATATTAAGTGACTTCTTTCCCTACCTCCCACCCCCAAAATCTGAATGGATATTTTTTACAAAGGCAAATGTAATAAGTTTTTAAAAAATGGCACATAACCAACACTGAGTTCTATATTATTACTTTGAACTCTTTTAACATGTACCTGGCCTGCTAGCTACCAAAGGCAAAGGAGAAGGAGAACAGGAAGGAGAAGGAGGAGAAGGAAACTTGATTATTAATAATGAGCAGAATAAGTCCAACTGAGCCCTTAAAACAATGCTCTGTTTCAGTAATAATCTATTTATAATATCCACAAAAACCAAAGCTATGTACTTCTACTCTACCCTGATTTGCCTGTAATGTTATTTTAAGAAAGACTTTCCATCAATTGTCTCATCGTTCTTATCCTGAATTATGGGGAAAACCCTTTGGGCTAAACATGAAAAGACAACATGTTTGAAAAGAACTGCCTTCTTCAGTTACATAAAAATGATTTCTTTCTTACAAACACAGAGAGATTTTAAAAGAGAAGTTACCTTGAAAGAAGCAGTTATCCTGAAACTTAGAAATGTTTTACATTTTATTTTAGTAGCCGTTATGATGCTAAACTGTGTGAGTTCAATCTGGAACAAGATAAATAGAGATGAGAGCGGATGTATCATTCCTTCTGGAATCCATGAATTAAAATCATCTGGGAATATAAATTCCCCAAGCAATAATTTGTAGTTTAAATAAGTTTCAACAATGTAAAGTTTGCACTTATCATAAATCTATATCTTCCTATCCTGCCACTTGTGTTCTGAAATTAGATCCTGATCCAGTTGAAGATCATTTTTAAAAAGACATTTTATTTTCAATGTTGTTCCATAGCTCTTTATTTATCAACAAGTGACAAAGAATAGGCTTTAATATAATTTGTAGTAAATGTAAAATTGCCCACAAAGGGTGTAGAATTGGCCAATAAATTCTTTCCTCTGCAAGTCTATCCACATGAATAAAATTATATTGAATTTGACTAAAAAGGCTAACAAGATAGCAGAAGCAACTAAATAATAGCTAAGTCAGTTTGGAAGTTTGAAGTAGGGTTTCCGACTTTTATTTCTGTAGTAATCTCTTTTATTTTAGCGCATACTTGCTCAGTGGCTTCATGAATTTTTTCCAATATAAGTTTACAGTTAAGTTGTAAATAGGGTTTCTCCATTTCGATGGCAGTTAGAAGCAGTCCTTTTATCTTTTAGTAGAGGCTATATTTAATAATAGTTAACCAATGTCCACCTCCACAGTTTCTAACAGCTGCATCAACTTCTTTATCTTTTCTCTTTTATAATAATACTAGCTGTACCCGGCCATGCGTTGCTGTGGTGCTGTTTTTCAAAAAAGCATGTTTTTACCTGTCACAAGTGTGACATCTATATAATAGTAGCTATATAAAAACACGTGCATATTCGAATGCAACGTTGTGTCAAAATTTCAAAGCAATCGGTGAAGAACTTTCGGAGATTTAAGATTTTGAACAAACAAACATTTACATTTTTATTTATATAAATGAAGGTCAAAGCCAACCTCAACTTCAAACAGAAGCAGGCAATTGCAATATTACATTTCACCACAAGAGGTCCTCAGTGGGTTATATAATCTTTTTCCAGACACCAATAAAATGATTTTTTTTCTTTTTTAGAAAAAAAAATAGAAAAAGAAATATTCTCCAGATATAAACTAGATCAGGTAGTAGAGCTCTGAAACAGGTTTTTTTTCTGGACCCCAGAGTAGATACAAGTAAAATATAATCATTAAAGTTAGTTATTCTGTCCTTTTATTCAGCACTTTCCTTCCCATGCAAACAAACACCGCTCTCTCAAGGCAGGGAAATAATTCCAGAAGGGCTTTTTACAGGAAAAAAAAAAAGGAGGGTGAAGAGAGGAAAATGAAAGGTCTCACCCGAATCATCCACGGGGTTCTTTATGCTTAGATGTTCTTGTAACTTTTGGCTGGTGCAGCTGCATGATCGGCCATCTTACAGGGAGATCTTTACTCTATCAGCCCTAAGGAGTTCGCTGGAGCCACGGGAGAGGCTTCCGCCCTCCCGCAGTCACCAATAAGCCTCCTTATCAGAGGTCGCCCCTCCAGGGCGACTTTCAACCCTCTTCAGGGTCTACCAGTGAAGAAGAACCAGCCGGCGAAGAGAGACGACTGTCCAAAAGTCTATTTTTACAATTTTTATTAAAATTATCATAATAGAAAAATGCAGATGAAAATAAAGATATGAAAATGAGGAAGGGGAAGAAAGAAGAGAAAATGGTGTAGGTACAGGAGGAAAGAAAAAATAAGTATTGATTTCTAATTTTTTTTAGTGCAGTAAAATACGGAATAGAATTACAATCTCAACGTTCTATTTTATTAGCTTAGGAAATAATAGCCATTTCTATAATAACAAGCTGTATTAATCAGCAAAATTCAATGCTGTAAGTTGATTTTTTTTTCTGACTTGAAAAAATGGTCCAGAAGTTTCTAAGTAGAAACAAAGCTGGATACTTTCTTTTTTCTCATTACAATCACTTTTGCCATTTCTGCCAGCTCCATCATTTTTTTTTTCTTGTGTTGTGGGGATTGATGTATTTTTCCATTTCTTTGCATGTAGAATTTTTGCTACAGTCAACCTATACCATTGGGGGCGAACCTATGGCACAGGTGCCAGAGGCGGCACTCAGAGCCCTCTCTTTGGGCACATGCACCATTGCCCCAGCCACGTGTCCCCCCATGGCCCCCTCCTCACCAGTAGCCCCCCCGGAGGAGAGTCGCCCTCAAGCATGGCCTGCGCGGAGAAGTGCAGCCAAGGACATGGCAGCCGGGCAGCAGGGACATGACTCCGCCCTTGCTCTCTGTCATGCGCAGTTGTTGCTGCGGGGCACAGGTGGAAGATGTGGCTGCCACCTGCGCCCCTGGGCCACCTGGGTGATCTGCGGCAGATAAAATATAAAATATAAAATATATTTATAAAATATCAAATAAAAATAAAATAATAAAATAAAATAATAAAATAAAATAAAATAAAATAAAATAAAATAAAATAAAATAAAATAAAATAAAATAAAATAAAATAAAAT